ACTATGTTCTTTTATAGTCCTCTTCCTCTCGATCCTTCTTCCTTTTCTAACCTTTTCTCTATTTTTTGTATCCTCTCTCCCTTTATCTCTCCCCTCTCTCAGTCTCTCGGCCTTTCTGTGCGTCTGTATGCATGTCTGTCTCTTTCATTGTCTCTTTTTTTCTTTCTCTTTTTGTCATTAGGGTAGTTTCTTACATCCATCTCACTTTTCCCTTCTTTCTAGGCCTTTTTTCAATTCCTCTTCCTTTCTATTTCTTTCTATCTGTCTGTGTGTACTCTTATTCGCGCTCATTCTCTCTCTCTCTCTCTCTCTCTCTCTCTCTCTCTCTCTCTCTCTCTCTCTCACTGCCTAATTTTTCTCTTTTCTCTTTTCTTTGTCTGTTTGCCTGTTCTTATACCAACCTCGTTTTCTCCCCTTTTATCTCTTTCTTTACCTACCTTTTTCTTTCCTTATTATTTTATCTCTCTATCTCTATTTTTGTGGTTCTTTGTACCCTTGTTTTTTTTCCATTTTTTTCAGTGTGTCCTGATTCCATTTTCAATATTACGCGCGCGAAATGTATTAATAAAACTTTCCTTGTAATTAAAGAACGTGGTAACTCAGAGGACGAGGTACGAAACTGATATCGCATCTTGTCAAAAAATTACTGAATGTAAAATATAATTGTTTTAAAAAAATTTTGTTGTAACATCATGTGACGAAATAATCGCATTTTGTCAATAAGCAGGACCTTGAACGTCGTACCAGATTGAACACACTTGGTGAAAAACGTCCAATCAGACAATAAGTCTAGTGTTCCCAAAGGAATGGAACAAATTTATTAAGCCGGAGAAATAGTCCGAGGCCCTCTTCGACAAGACATATTGATTGATTGACCGACTTAAGGATATTTCCGCGGTTTCTGGAGAGAGCTAAAGTCCCAACGCGGCCCGTTTTGCCTTTATTGTTCTACAGGATTTCGTATGCCTTATAAATTAAATCCCCTTCCAAAACATGAAATGACAATAAACTCGTAGTTTTATTTTCCTTTGTCCCTAAATTGTAAATATTGCGCAAAGGTTTTTTCGTTCAATTTTGAAACAATAAACAAGAACGCTGACAAATCTTTCTTTGTTAAAACATCACTTGCTTACTTCAATTAGCTGTACACCTGTTAAACAATCTGACAATTAAACCGACATTTAAAAAAAAAATAACTTGTGATTTTAGAATAAAAAGGAATCTACTCTACCTTAATTTGATGACGTGGCCTTGACCTAAACTACTGACTCCGGCCGGATGTCTTAAATTCAGCTGAGCAGGATCTGGCTAAAATATATAATTGGACTGGATGAGATGCACCTTACTAAGTTTGGACATCTATAAATGCTTTTTCATGCCCCATATCTACTGGCACATCAGTAGGAAGAACCTTCACAGTGATAATGCCAACCAATTAAAAAAGTACACGAGGTTAAATACCTTGGGGTAATCATAGACAATCACACAAAATGGAATAAACATAAAGAAAAGAAGAATATTTGTGTGATAAATTAAGGAGTAGCATATTATAAGAATATCATAAACCAAATGAAAAGATCCCAATTAAAACTAAAAAAATAATTTTATTTAAATTATTGTAGTTGTTTCCATGTCTGTAGAATATTACGGATATTTTTTTACCTTTTTGTTCTTTCTAACATTTCTTTATATTAGTGGTAGTCCAAGAAACATGTGCTTTTTTAAAGGTTTAAAGGTATTTCACGTATGTTCTCTTACGCTTCGGGTCATTTTTCCAATCATGCAATTTTGAATTACTGGTAAAGGTGGTAAACGTAGACATATTGTTAAGCCAGTTTATACCGTCAGCCGGAGAATGATACAATGATACATACGTAAATATAGCGAAAGAACAATATACTATCCTCAAAAGAATTATATTATATAAGTGGGAAGTTAATGGGCCGACAAACATCTGAGGTCATCGCCGGCCCTCTGCGTGTTTTCCATCTTTTTCTTTTCTTTCGCGCATATTTTGTTTTAACTTCAGTCATTTGAGCATCTCGATCTGGTAGATATTTCTTGATCTACGTTGATATTCTAGAATGCTAGTCTCTCATTTGTACCTCAGGTTGTCAAATACAGAATAAAAACAAAACATACAATACATATACATATGGATATAATATACATCACCACAAACATAGATGTCTGGTCACATTCATTCCCCGAGAGTACTCTATATTCCTCGGGGCGGGGTTATAAGCAACCCCTTCCTTTCACTCTAATAAATTACTTTTACTCTCCAGACGTCATACACTCACCCCAGAGTACTTGATATTCCTCGGGGCGGGGTTATAAGCAACCTTTTCTTTCACGCTAATAAATAACATTCATTCCGATAAATTAACACAAACACAACACTCGATAGAAACATAGAGGTCTGGTCACTTTCACTCCCCCAGAGTACTCGATATTCCTCAGGGCGGGGTTGAACCCTCTCCACTCTCGCTAATAACTTACTTTTACTCTCCAGACGTCACACACTCGCCCCAGAGTACTCGATATTCCTCGGGGCGGGGTTTAATAAATATATTATAATATTACGTTTTTTTTAAATAAAACTATTGACATTGCATTCAAATATTTAAAAAATTGAGAACATGTATAGTATTACAAAATGTTTTATATGATTCACAACAATATAACATAAGATAAAAATTAGTAATAAAATTCATTAAAGAAATAATATCTGCAACTCCAAGCGGGCATAATTTACATGATTTGTTAAAGTCGTGAGGAGCGGTTAAGAATAAAATAATTTGGAAAAACAACTTTTTCTGTTTTTTGCCGACGTTTCGACCTTTATTCGGGTCATCGTCAGGACTTAAAGTGTGATGCTATTTTTGTGGTGGCATATTGGTTTTGTGTGAAAGTGTTGTAAAACCCACAAAAAACTAATATGACTCCATAAGAACAGCACCACACTTTATAAGTAATAATAACCAAATGAAGGTCGAACCATCGGCAAAAAAAATGTGTTTTTCTAATTACCACATTCTTCACCGCCCCTCATGACTTCAACAAATTATGAAACAAGAGTTCATTAAAAAGCACACATAATTTACAAGATGTAAACGTCTACAATCGTTCGACGTGGCGGTTTTTTTTTTTTTTTTTTTTTTTTTTTGAGGTGGGAAACTGTAGAAAGGGGTTAAGGCAGTGGTTAGGATGGGATCGAGAGGCTGGATGGATTGGCAGAACCTCACAGTTCAACCCCGTATTTCCACAGTTGTCGCAGCATTGTCTTTCATATACTTTGTTGTGATTTGATGGTCAAAACAGATTTCGGTCCTAAAAACCTTCCGTTAAATTGTTATCTCTTAAGGTTAAATCTATGTGCAGTTATTCTCCGACAGTCTGCTGCCTAGGTATAACTCAAAGGATGTGACTTGAGTGGAAGTCGGTAAGATTAAGGAAGATGAGGTCGTATTGGATAGTGAGGTTAGTGACCTATTAAAGATGTTGATTCATCTGAGGCTTTGACTGCTGGATATTGGATAACTTGACCGAAAGCTAAAGTGTACTTCGAATGTACAAAATTTTCAGATTAATATCTTCTATAAAGTTAGTTGAGTTTTGATGGTCAAAACTGATTTAAATGCTAAAGGTCTTCTGACGTGTGAAGATCCTTTGTCATTTAGTTATCTAGGTATTTTCCTAGGTATATGTTTTGAGTGTTAGTCGAAAGTTCCTTGTTGTTGATGCACAGTGGTGGGCAAGATTTTTTGGTTAATGGAAACTACACTTTGTACATTTTTCTCATTAAGTATTGGATCTTACGTTTTTATACTAGTCTTTGATAACCTCAAGTTGCTCTTAAATGTTGATTGCTTGGAAGGGAAGTTAGAAGGCAGTTTTGCGGTATCATCGACGTAGATGGTATTGAAAGTACTGGGATGAATAGGAAAGTCAGCAGTATAAATGGTATAATAGAATGGGACCAAGAATGTCGTGGAACGCCATCATGTAAAACCGGAATTCCGAGTCATCGTTACTGCACTTAAACACACTGAAACGCACGCAGTTAGAATGGTTTCAAGCATAAAGTAATTAGCAGTGGTTCGGAATCGTTTAAGTTTATACACATTAAGCCCGTTAATCCGCAAATTTTTCGTCGCCAAGCGATCTCACCCTATTTGTGGACTAATTGTGACCATCCAGTGATTGCTTTCGCGTTGGAGGTTGCTTCGATAAGATTCGCGTTATAAGGCAGATTGCTGGAAGTGCGTTATATTAGAAAATGAAACGTTGAAGTGGTGGATTTTCAGTTTTCCAATGGCTCTTCTAAATTTGATTACAATTTGAAAAATAAACCCAGGATAAATTTAGATATTCTATGAAGCATCAAATTCCCTCCCCCCAGATTTTTCTCTTTATAAAATAATGTTGAAGAAAAAAAAATGGTTTAAATGAAACTATACTCCAGCGACCGCATCAAAAAGAGTAATTTGGTTTTGTGACATTAATGAGAGAGACGGGATCCCAAAGAGGCATCCGGTGGGAATCATTTTCAATAGGAAAAAGGATTCAAAAGGATTTTACGTTTTGATATATATATTTTAACATTGGTTCTTCTGCATTGAAATCCTAGGCAAAAGGCCCTACTCTAGCTTCCTTTATGTAACTCGAACCCTCCTTTATATAACTCTTTAAAGAAATAGGACAACGTTGCATACCATGTATCCTAATAGTGATTTAAAACTCTATCTTGTGATTATTATAATATTTTTAATGAAAAGTGTTCTTGTTATATAAGTGAAGGACGATTTTGGAAGATGTTGGTCATGTCCTAGTCTTAGATTGCTTTTGTTTTCCCTCTGTTCTTTCTTCACGATTCTATGTTTACTTTTATACAATTCATTGTTCTTTCTACCTGTACAAAATGATTTCCGTGTTAACAAAAATGGTTGTAAATGGGTATGGTTGGTTAAAAAATGTTTCAGATATTAAACAAGAAGTAGAACATAATGCGCTATATTTTTTTTGTTACAATCCGGGTAGCACTCTTGATAAATGCTGTTATTGACATTTCAAGCCTCAGCCCAAAAGAAGAAGAAGCAATAGTCGAACAAGTCCCAAGTTCTGTGCGTTACCCGGCGATCCGAGAAGTCTGGTCAAAAGTCCGGGTAGCAATCCTAACAATTTTTTTCTTCGTTCGTCCATTTGTGATGAGTTGCATGTGGGGTCTTGTCCGACTGTTCTGGCTATTCTTAGCAAATCTTCTGAATCGGTGGGTAACTGTTGAAGTTCGCCTGTAACATCCACCGCACTGCCCAGCGCATTCTCCTCGAGCGGAAGTTGTGGAAAAGCAACGACGCACGTTGCGATTGCAAAGAGTAAAATTAAAATCTGCAAGAAAGAGCCACACACAAAAAATTAACTAAATTCAAACGACAATACTGGCGCGAATTAAAATTACGATCTTACAGCTTTCCTCATATTTCTCGATTGAAGCTCCAACACTGAAGAAATGGAAGTGCTATGAAGTTTATATACTAAAGAAAAATCACCATACGTGCACATTTCATTAACCGTAATCAGTCTTAATCAAGCTTTTTATGGTGGCACTTTTGACAACTCTCTTATTTCAATTATAAAAGGACAATCTAAGAGGCCTAGATGATTATAGACCCCATTGTAGTTTTACAAAAAATTTATTATATCTTTTTCCTCAACGAAACTCCTACACTTAACATGCTAACATAAAACTAAAACAGCCCACGGCTTATTGTTCGATAGATTATAAAACCGACGGTACACGGCTACTAAATTTAGTTTAATAAGCTAAGGGCATTTATAATCAATAGCCATTAATTACGAACACAAAGGATGAGTAAAAGTTAATATAAGTTCAAAACGATTTGCAAACTGCTAATTTTTTGTTTGTTTAGCAAATTCAGCCAATGGCACAATAAAGTAATAGATGATTGTATACATTATTTTGGTATTAGAAAATGTTGGTCGCAAAGTACCGTGAATTTATTTGGTATTGGAAATTATTGGGCATCTCACACTCTCGCTCTTTTTATCGCTTACTTTATGTATTTATGTAACTCCCTTATATCTCTCTCTATTCGGCCTTTCAAACGTTTCAATCAAACATTTTTTCCAAAGGGCCGTTAAAAGAAATTATTTTGTACCTTTATGTCATACATTTATGCATGGAATTACACATCTGCAAAAGATTAGAATCAAAGATACGAAGACTTTATGGAATTGAAAGTTGGAATAGTCGAGTAAGTTTTCGAGTTTTGAAAAGGAAATACTTCGCGTCGTACCTCAAACGTTACGTGAACATGCTTTTCACATTTTCAATACTTGTTTCTTAATTACGCACTATCTATAGAATACATTAATGTAAATGTTGCAACATTTTCAAAGAGGATTTCATCATTTTCATGATGTTATATTCTTGTTTGATTTATTTGTCGAGAAATTTACCTATTTCTTATCTTCCAATTGGCCCAAGATTAAGATGATTTCTACTTATTAATTCAAATTTCTAATTATTATTATTCTTAATTATTCCATTATTATTCTTCTATTAATTATTACTTATTATTCAATATTCTAATTATTAATTCAAATTTAACTTTTTTGACTGGATAAACTGCTATAAAAATTTGAACAAGAATAGTACTTGAATTTCTTGATACATAACCATAGAATAGACACTACCTTTTTTTGAACTAAGTATCTAATTAAATAATTTATATAAAGTCATAATGCGTAATTATTTTTATTTGTAACTCATTTTACTTCAGGTTTCAGTTGTGAAAAATTTCCTTTATTATTTAAAAATATTGCTCGTTATGCCATTTTTTAAGCATAATTAATTTATTCGTACATAGCATAGCTTGCACAAATAAAGAGAAAGCAGCCAACTCTGGGACTCAATGAGCGAGATTAAGTGGCGAGGAGGTCTCAAGGCTGTCTTGTTTAAGGCGGATGTGGGAGCTGAAAGTTATAGAGAGGGCTTGGGCAGTAGGGAAGCAGAATCGGAAGCTACGAATAATCAATATAATACGTATAGGACTTGAGTAGAAGTTGGTAGCTTCTTGTAATCGTTGTACAGTACTCAGATATACAGAGGGAAAGATTGTTTTTCAATGTACACTTTTTCCCATTCAGTTTTGTTCGCCACCTTTTGCACTAGTCTTGCACAAGGCTCTTGGATGTTGTAGGTCACTTGGACGGGATTAGGGTTGGAAGACAGAATTGCGATATAATTCCCATGTGTGGAAATGATAGTAGTGAGATGTATAGGAAATCAGCCGTGGAAAGGGTATAAAAGGGTGGGACCAAGAATGTTCCCCTGTCGGACGCCGGCCTGTATCGGTCTGAAATCGGAGAACTTTTTATCAACACCTCAGTTAGATAGGATTCCCAAATACTTTATTGAATTTCAATATTCCAGTGTCCAACATATCGATTTCACTGATTGACGATAAATATCGGTTCCGAAGAATAATCATCTCAACAAACATGATTGATTTGTTGGATATTGCACATTATATTCGTAAATAATTTTTAAAAATAGGTACAGAATGTGATTCTTCTGTACATGTTTTTTTTAATTATTAACAAATTCAAACAATGTCACAATAAAGTAACCGATGATTGTATACATAATTTTGATATTAGAAAATGTTGGTGGCCAAGTACCGTGATTTATTTGGTATTGGCAATTATTATACTAATACTAATCTCAACAAACTTGCTTGATTTGTATGATATTGTACATTACATTCGTGAAAATTGAAATACTTAAAAAAAGGTATAGAAGTATCACAATCGCACACATGTTAGCGTTTTAATTTCATTTACATTCAATGAAATTAGTTGCAAATTATTCAGTTAGAAAATGACAAAATGTTACATTTTTCTCCGTAACTTAACCCTATTGCCAAAAACATAATATACACTTCGTCATTATAGTAGAACCAATTGTCTCTAGTCTTTATAATTAATTATTTTTACAAATAAAAGATATTTTGAAAGACAATGCAAATTCTTTGTTATAAACTTTTAGGTAAAACGTTCTCAGATTAAATGAATTTAATTGAGAAGGGACAGGCTCAATCGTTGGACGCGTTGTATACCTGTAAAGTTGGTGGTATAGGCGGAAATGTTATGGATATTGAAATTTAAAAAAAATTATCATCTAGTTACATATATAAAATAAATACTCGATAAAGAATCCCCCCGGGCTATTGCCGGCACCACACATTTCTTCCACCTCACCTTTTTATTTTATTTATTTATTTAATTAATTTTTTTTAAGTTAGCTTTTCCGTAGGAAGTCTGGCGTTCTTTCTGGTTGTGTTCTGGGACGTTATTTCTACATTTCTAGTCCTCCCACACGTGGTGAAAAGGCTCTGAAACTATCTCATTCACTAACATTCAATACTAGCCTAGCCTATATGCGGGTTTCAGAGTACTCTATATTCCTCTGAAGACCCGCTCTCGTTCACGCTAATAAATACATCCATACATTATATACAATTAAAATTACAATTAATCTAAAATATTAACCTAGGTTGGTGGGTTTATGGGGTACTTTATATTCCACCATAGACCCACCCATGCATACACTACTAACGCACTAATAAATACAGTCACTCAAACAGTAACCAATCATTCTGTATTTACAAATTAAAAAATTTGGAGCCACTGGCGCATTTAATATTACAACAGTGCCTCCGCCCATTCACTTTAAAAGATATTATAGCCTAATACTAACCTAAATCGGTGGGTCTGTGGAGTATTCGATATTCCTGCACAACCCACCCATACACGCTCACTTTCGCGCCAATAAATACATTCATTCTACTCAAAACACACAAAGAGATATACAGGGTGAATTGCTACTCGTGCTACAAACTTCTCCAGTAGATTCTTCACCCTAAAATGAACAAAAAAGTTCATATTGTCCATGGTCCGATTCNCGGACCATGGACAATATGAACTTTTTTGTTCATTTTAGGGTGAAGAATCTACTGGAGAAGTTTGTAGCACGAGTAGCAATTCACCCTGTATATCCTAGTTTGGTGGGTCTGTGGTGTACTCGATATTCCGAACACTACTCACCCATACCCTCACACATTCTCGCCAATAAATACACTCACTTCAGGAAGGGAAAACGAAACCACGTGTGGAGAAGCATTAAAGGCGACCATATGCCTTTATTTGCTTCAGATATTCGATTACTTTCTTGCTACTGTCATTGTTGTGTATTTGTTGTTCCTACGACTTTATGTGCCAAATCTTTGGAAGCCCAATAGAACATCTTGAAAATAAATTTAAAAATGATCTAAGACCCAATTATTATTTAAAAAAATAGCATCCTTGTGTAAGAACACAAATACATTGAAATTTAACGTCAGACCACCTCAGAAATAATAAGAATTGATTTTCTCCATCAACTATGAACAAAGTCGATACCTCGCAAATTCTGAGTTATTTTTTCCTTGACAACATGTTATCACACGACTTGCAAATACACTCAAAGACAAAAATCAGATAGTCGTATTTTGTTGTGTATTTCAAACTATCGTTTTTCCTTCTTACTGTTATTACAAAGGGAACATCCATACTATCAGGCACTTCATTAACCTCGAAGTGTAAAATTTAAATATAATAACTGCTCATTTCTAAAAGCCATCGGAATTCATCAAATTTTAAATCGGCAGAGAAATTTTTGGTACTCGTTATAAAACTTTGGTACAACTGGAACCTTACAGAGAAAGATACTCGAGACATAGATTCTTCATTAAACCAGTTAGTTTAGATAGAAGAACCAGAAAGCCTTATTTTTTGTTACCTCTAGAGAAATAAGTTGGTAGCCGGCTTAAGGAAAGAATTTTTGTACAGTACATATTTTATATTCATTTTCAGTTCCGAAAGCTGGACCTAATAGTAGGTAGGGGGAAAAATTTGTTGTGAAATCATTTTATAAACATTTCCAACGTTTTTTAAACCCAGAAATCACTATCTGACATTTGACTCTTTTAGTTCTAATAGGAAAAATAAGCAACTGAATTTTCTCTGACTATTTATTTGCACGCCATTTCTAAAAACTAATTTATACTAGAATTGGAAATAGGATTAGAGAGAAGAGCCCGTTTCATTGTCATAAAGTGGATAATTCCCTCGAATCCAATTAAAACTATGCGTTTAACGATCTTTGGGTGGGAAGCGCACTTAGAAGTTTCCCAACTTTTTTGGCAATCTCCCTAATCGCACTTGAACTAAGTGCTTATTAAGATAGTTTTTATGGCAGTTTTGATACAAATGTATGTTGAAAAACCGCACTGCAGTTTTTTTTAAATGCTATGTTGTTTAATGAGTTAATAGTTTTAAAGCTTGTTTGACAACCCTAGTTTCTATACATGAGAAACCACACCTTACCTAGCTCATTTCTATGCGATATCACTATTGGGGTAAATTCTTTTAAAAAGAAAAATCGTCTCTAAACGC